ATTGTAAACAGAGCTGCAATGAACATTTTGGTACATGACTCTTTTTGAATTATGGTTTTCTCAGGGTATATGCCCAGTAGTGGAATTGCTGGGTCATATGGTAGTTCTATTTTTAGTTTTTTAAGGAACCTCCATACTGTTCTACATAGTGGCTGTACCAATTCACATTCCCACCAGCAGTGCAAGAGTGTTCCCTTTTCTCCACACCCTCTCCAGCATTTATTGTTTGTAGATTTTTTGATGATGGCCATTCTGACTGGTGTGAGATGATATCTCATTGTAGTTTTGATTTGCATTTCTCTAATGATTAATGATGTTGAGCATTCTTTCATGTGTTTGTTGGCAGTCTGTATATCTTCTTTGGAGAAATGTCTATTTAGGTCTTCTGCCCATTTTTGGATTGGGTTGTTTGTTTTTTTGTTATTGAGCTGCATGAGCTGCTTATAAATTTTGGAGATTAATCCTTTGTCGATTGCTTCATTTGCAAATATTTTCTCCCATTCTGAGGGTTGTCTTTTGGTCTTGTTTATGGTTTCCTTTGCTGTGCGAAAGCTTTGACGTTTCATTAGGTCCCATTTGTTTATTTTTGTTTTTATTTCCATTTCTCTAGGAGGTGGGTGAAAACGGATCTTGCTGTGATTTATGTCATAGAGTGTTCTGCCTATGTTTTCCTCTAAGAGTTTGATAGTTTCTGGCCTTACATTTAGGTCTTTAATCCATTTTGAGCTTATTTTTGTGTATGGCTTTAGGGAGTGATCTAATCTCATACTTTTACATGTACCTGTCCAGTTTTCCCAGAACCACTTATTGAAGAGGCTGTCCTTTCTCCACTGTACATTCCTGCCTCCTTTATCAAAGATAAGGTGACCATATGTGCGTGGGTTTATCTCTGGGCTTTCTATCCTGTTCCACTGATCTATCTTTCTGTTTTTGTGCCAGTACCATACTGTCTTGATTACTGTAGCTTTGTAGTATAGTCTGAAGTCAGGGCGCCTGCTTCCTCCAGCTCCGTTTTTCGTTCTCAAGATTGCTTTGGCTATTCGCCCTGATACCAAAACCAGACAAGGATGTCACAAAGAAAGAAAACTACAGGCCAATATCACTGATGAATATAGATGCAAAAATCCTCAACAAAATACTAGCAAACAGAATCCAACAGCACATTAAAAGGATCATACACCATGATCAAGTGGGGTTTATTCCAGAAATGCAAGGATGCTTCAATATACGCAAATCAATCCATGTGATAAACCATATTAACAAACTGAAGGAGAAAAACCATATGATCATCTTCATAGATGCAGAGAAAGCTTTCAACAAAATTCAACACCCATTTATGATAAAAACCCTCCAGAAAGTAGGCATAGAGGGAACTTTCCTCAACATAATAAAGGCCATATATGACAAACCCACAGCCAACATCATCCTCAATGGTGAAAAACTGAAAGCATTTCCACTAAGATCAGGAACAAGACAAGGTTGCCCACTCTCACCACTCTTATTCAACAGAGTTTTGGAAGTTTTTGCCATAGCAATCTGAGAAGAAAAGGAAATAAAAGGAATCCAAATCGGAAAAGAAGAAGTAAAACTGTCACTGTTTGCAGATGACATGATACTATACATAGAGAATCCTAAAGATGCTACCAGAAAACTACTAGAGCTAATCAATGAATTTGGTAAAGTAGCAGGATACAAAATTAATGCACAGAAATCTCTTGCATTCCTATACACTAATGATGAAAAATCTGAAAGTGGAATCAGGAAAACACTCCCATTTACCTTTGCAACAAAAAGAATAAAATATCTATGGATAAACCTACCTAAGGAGACAAAAGACCTGTATTCAGAAAACTATAAGACACTGATGAAAGAAATTAAAGATGATACAAATAGATGGAGAGATATACCATGTTCTTGGATTGGAAGAATCAACATTGTGAAAATGACTCTACTACCCAAAGCAATCTACAGATTCAATGCAATCCCTATCAAACTACCACTGGCAGTTTTCACAGAAGTAGAACAAAAAAATTCACAATTTGTATGGAAACACAAACGACTCTGAATAGTCAGCTGGTCTTAGTCCCATCTGGCCTCCAAGATTGAAGCGAATGAACAGAAGTAAGCATGCTATAGAATGGAGACCCCTAGAGTCGGATTAATTTATTTTGGTAATGGCTGATTGGTTTTGAAAAGAGAACTGAATTTACCATTTGTTCACTTCATATCAGCATGTTTAGGATAAAAAGTTACTCTAAAATGTGTCCAGTGCTGTGTTTTTTAGGTTATGTGTGTGCGCTGTTTTGCTTTGTTTTAAAATACTGGTTTCACTACATGTGTGGCATGAACCTGCTTAATCAGGAGTGGGTTAACGGCTGCAGTAGTGGCTGACATTAAAGCTGTCATTTAGTTAAATAGCACTAACCTACTGGGAGAGAACATGGCATTGGAAGAAACCAGAGCAGAGCATTAGTAGTGGACAAGAGCAGCTTCATCGTTGAGAGCAGAGGCGGCCAGGGAAGAGGAGAAGGACAGAGTGCAGACATTTCAGCGGATCAGCGAGGCCTATATTCAAAACTTTCCCATGTTAACAATGTAGAAGTTCCTTAAATTTGAGGAGTTATAAAAAATTTGTTTTTCAAAAATAAATAATATTACATCTTGAAATTTAAACTCTAACCTGCTAAATTTCTGTACTAAATGTCTGGAGGGTATTTTACCTTTATAGACTATTTCTCTTACTGTAATAATTTTGTTTCCTTTTTTTCAGCTCACCCTTCCCCATTCCTAACCCAGTCTTTCAGTAATTAATAGTAACAGCCTGGAGTTAACTCCTTCATATATTCTATTATAGATTATGTTTGTAAAATATAAAATAGCAATTTACAGGAATGCATAGAAAATGACTGAAAAATAACAAACAGTTACAAAGAAAAACTTCCACAATGGCATGTCCTAAGACAATTATGATGATATTTGAGAAAATTTCTTTCTTGAATTATTTCTTTTTGTAGATTTAGATTATTTTTTAAAGTTAGTATATATAGTTTATAATCTTATTACCTTTACCTGTAGCTTTCAATAAAATTAAGGATGAGTTTTAAAGACATTTGTAAATATCTGCATAATATTCTGCTGAATGGATGGATCATGGATGTGGCAGAATATTGGTACTCTTAGTGCCAGCACCTATGTGCTTCTCTTCATTCCCAGGTGCCCTTGCAGTTAGATCAGCTATATTCTAGTCAGCGGACTATAGATGAGAGTGATATATGTCACTCCTAAGTCTGTCTTCCAAATCTTCCCTCTGCCCTCCCTTCCTTCTTCTCTCAACTGGAATCCAAGAAGTTGGAAAGAATCTGCACTGTTGAATCACCACATAAAAGGCCATTTACCAAATACCTGACTGGACTGTGACATGAGCAAGAATTAGAACTTTATTTTTTATGCCATGAAGGTGGTTGTTTGTTACATCATCAAGCTTACCCTCATCAGAGCGTAACTTAGCCTAAAATTTTATCTTCTAGACATAGCAGTTCTGTGGCGTCATGGAAGTGCACTGCTCAGATCTGCAAGAGGAACGGTGGCAGGAAGCACAGTTCACTGACCGCTCCAGGCACTGTTCCTTGGCTCTGCCATGGTGTTCCCACCAAGGCCAGCCTCCTCTTGGACCGCTTGCTCCCAGCCAGTGACTGAGCACACAGTGCGAACTAGAGCCAGGATATTCCTACCCAAAGCAGGAACCCTACAGCCTTTGTTCAAGGACTCCCCATCAGTATAGCTGAGACTTTCTGAGAACTACGCTGCAACCTGAAGGCTCTTCCAACTTCTTCTCCCCCTTCTTCATCTTTCACAGATTTGTCCAATATATCTCTTATATATATAATCTCATCTTCACATCCTCTTTCTGTAGGGTCCAAATCAATTTAGGTTACTTCAGCATTTTCACTATTATATATAAAATTGTGATGAAAATATTTATGCATATTTTCTGAATTTCAGATAGAATTCTTAAATGAGATTCTTCAGGAGATGTAATGAACATTTCAGGACGCTTGGCACATGCTGTCAAATGGGTTCCAAATTGTTACAATTTACTCTAATACCGATTAAATGGAAGTGCTCAGCGTAACACATCCTCAGCAAAATTAAATATTATAGTTTAAAGAAATAATAAAAGCTTTTTGCTCATTAGAAGGGCAAAAAGCATCATTCATAGCTGTTTTGTTATGCATTTTTTTTCAAACCTAGTGAACTTGAACATAATTCTAGGTAATTGTATATAAATTGTATTTCTGCTTTTGTGAGAATTCTATTTGTGTATTTTGCCCATTTACCTCTTGTTGATCTTACCGTTTTTTCTCTTTGTGACATTTATTTTTATTCACTAAAATTCCTAGTTCTTTAATTTCCTTCAAAAAAAAAAGACCCTAATTTTAAACAGAAATAGAATAACTAAACAGAAAATGTTTCCTTGTAAGTACATCAATGCTACATGTAGTTAATGATAAAATATGGGCTGTTTTTAATTAACACCCTTCCAGTGTTAACACAAACTCCTCTTTTACCAGAATGTCAACGTTTATTCATTGGCAAATTTAATTAATTAATTATAAATTTATTTATTTATTTATTTTTGGCTGCGTTGAATCTTCGTTGCTGTGCGTGGGCTTTCTCTAGGTGCGGTCAGCAGGCTTCTCATTGCAGTGGCTTCTCTTGTTGAGGAGCACTGGCTCTAGGTGCACAGGCTTCAGTAGTTGTGGCACGCCAGCTCAGTAGTTGTGGCTCGTGGGCTCTAGAGCGCAGGGTCAGTAGTTGTGCCTCATGGGTTTAGTTGCTCTGCAGCATGTGGGATCTTCCCAGACCAGGGCTTGAACCCCTGTCCCCTGCATTGGCAGGTGGATTCTTAACCACTGCACCACCAGGGAAGTCCCTCATTGGCAAATTTTAAATGTTAACAATGAAATATGTGTTGAATTACCTATCATGGAAAAAAAAAACCTCTGTTGAAGATACTCAAGAAAATATTGTATCTCTTCTTAAATAATTTTTTTCCCTTTTTCTCAGTATAGTACTGTTGTCTTTTACCCATCTTCCATGCCTCCAAGGAATAAAATCAGTTGAGATTATTCTTTAATTTTATCTTCAAAACAAAAGATCACAAGGAAAAAAGCTCAAAGTTTTATGCAGAATCTCTATTGGACAACTGAATTCACACACACACACACACACACACACACACACACCCCATAGTCCTACTAATACTGACATACAAAAATAAAGAAAATAATGTTACACCTTTGTACACACCACCAAGCTTAAGAAACGAACACTGCAGATCATATCAAAGCCCCATGTATAATCTCAATCTCTTTCCTCTCCAATTCCCCCAAAGGTAGCCACTATTATGAATTTAATGTTTATCAATCTTACTCTTGTTTTTACACTTTCACTATATACATGTCATGCCTCAATAAAAAATATGCAACAGTGTTTTGCATTGTTTCCATTTTATTTAACTTGTATTATATCCTACACATCCTTCTACAACATGCTTCTTTACCTCAAAGATATATTTCTGAGATTTCTTTATCTTGGCAGGTGTAGCTCTGGTGCACTTTAACTGTTGGATAGAACCTTCCTCCAGGTAATGTCTGTGGATCGGCAGCATCACATCACCTGGGAATCTATTAGAAATGTGGGATCTTGAGACCCACTCCAGACCTACAGGATCAGAATCTGCATTTTAACAAGGTCCCTGCATGATAGATGCACACTGAAGTCTGAGATATATTGCCATTGATTTCCTTTGTATTAAAACTTCACACTTTATCTATTCTCTGCTAATGGATATTTAGACTGTTTCTAAACTTTTAATATGATGATTTGATATTTTGCTTCTTTTATGTTTTTAAGAAAGCTTTCCCATCAACAAAACAATAAAGGTTTCATAACCAGTTCCCATTTAGGCATGTAAGTAATTTACTGAAGGATTAGTTCTTTATTCCAGGGTTAGGTGGACTAGTAACTTGTATAATTTGCTCAACAGCCCTCAATGTGTGAGACAGGTCATATTTCCTTACTTGTACTAAACTGACTAAAATCCTGCATCTGTTGACCAAGGCCAACAAGATGTCCAAAATCATAAATTTTCATGGTTTCCTCACTCTCACATCATTTCACTAGAACTTTAACCTATTAAGACAAGAATGAGGCGTGTGGTTATCATTCCGTCAGGTGGATGGTGAGGATGCTCCCTGACCAGGCCTACGAAACCCTTTCAAAAGTCTGTGGCTCTGCTCCCTCTGCACCAAGCCTCACCAGGGACACTTCACTGAGTCCAGTGGCCATGCCCCCGTACTCACAGGCAGGCATTCACTTCCAGGTCTTGCCACCTCCAAGTGCCCTCATTGGGCCACCTGCAAGCCTTTCGTGTTCCTTCTCAGTGTCTGAGGCATGAACTTCTTGGGTAGAGCAATTAATTACTCAGTGAGAACACAAAATACCATCAGAGTTCTCTCCTGCTCTTTCGGGTCAGCTCTGGTATGCCTAAAACTCTTTCTGTTAATCCTCTCTTGGGAACAAGGAGAGCCCAAACCTTGGGAAGAAGCCCAATTTAAGTCCTCTTGTTTCTAAAGAAAGAACATACATCACAGAAAAATAATACAAGATGCCAATTAATTTCTCATAACAATCTATTATAAGCTTCACATTTGCCAAAGTTAAAGGATCTAATTCAGGGTAAACCAACCATTTCTCTTTAGGACTGATTGTCCTTAGCACTGAGTCACTGCATTTTTTTTTTTTTTTTTTTGCGGTACTTGGGCCTCTCACTGTTGTGGCCTCTCCCGTTGCGGAGCGCAGCCTCCGGATGCGCAGGCTCAGTGGCCATGGCTCACGGGCCCAGCCTCTCCGCAGCCTGTGGGATCTTCCTGGACCGGGGCACGAACCCGTGTCCCGTGCATCAGCAGGCGGACTCTCAACCACTGCGCCACCAGGGAAGCCCAAGTCACTGCATTTTTTTAAAACTCATCTCCTCCACCTCAACACCTTCTCTTTCACAAATTAAGAATTTGGCCCCAGAGAGTACAAATGCTTACAAAACCTTGACCAAGGTCCAAAGTTTGCTCTGGAATTGATGAAACCAGAGTTCCTCTGGAAAACATCACTTATGAAATGGTCTCACAAATTCCATGCAGCAGTCCAGTCGCCATTCTTGGGACCACCATGGGGGTTCACTCAAAAACGCTACCTCTGCAATGAAGCTGCAGTCTCACAGCCAGTCCCTATTACCAATGGATTACAAAAAAACTTAAAAAATAGAACTTGGCAAGGCAGAAACAGATCAGAGAAATTGGTAGGATTGACAGATTGCTTGGAGGTAGAATCTAGTAATAAGTCAGCAATTATTAAAGACTTGCTAAAGTGGACACAGCTAGTGGATTGCAGGGGTGGAAAAATCCCACGAGTCTTGCTGCCCAGGCAACTCAATTCAATAAATGTGTTCCCTACCCACTAGGTGCAAAGTGCTTCATACTTTATTTCATTCAATCTAAAAAATCATCCTGTAGGGTAATATAATGATCACCATGATACACATAAAGAAGCTAGTCCTTGCATTTTATTTTTTTATTTTTTATTTTTTTCCTGCGGTACGCGGGGCTCTCACTGTTCTGGCCTCTCCCGTTGCGGAGCACAGGCTCTGGACGCGCAGGCTCAGTGGCCATGGCTCACAGGCCCAGCCGCTCCACGGCATGTGGGATCTTCCCAGATAGGGGCACGAACCCATGTCCCTTGCATCGGCAGGCGGACTCTCAACCACTGCGGCACCAGGGAAGCCCCAGTCAGGCTTCCTGAACACAGATTCTTCCTCATCAAGGTTCCCCATGTAAAGAGGCTTCTGGACATCCCACCCCCAGTGTTTGCCAGGCATGTCTCAGTCCCATCTGAAGCCAGTCCTAAGAAAGCCCCATAAAGATAAACAAGAGGGCCAATATTTATTGGGTTCCTGCCCTAAGTCCTGAGTCAAGTGTTGTTTATATTACTTATCCTTCTCATAAACCTGCAGGTAGCTATAATTATCTTCAATTTCAAACAAGGAAACTGAGACTCAGAAACTTTAAACTACTTGAGACTGTACAGAACATAAGTAAATTTTGTCAGGTCCTTCGGTCTCTGAAACCCATTGCTAGAGGTTTATGTCCTCCCAAAATTCATATGCTGAAGCCCTAATTCCCAATGTGACTGTATCTGGAGATAGGGTCTTTAGGAGGTAATTAAGGTTAAATAAGTTCATAAGGGTGGGGTCCTAATTCAATAGGACTGTGGCCTTATAAGAACAGGAAGCGATTCTTTCCCCCTCCCCTCCTTGCCCACATTACCACTACCACCATGCCACCATACACAGGGAGAAGGCAAGCATCTGGAAGCCAAGAAGAGAGATCTTACCAGGAACCAAATTGACCAGCACCATGACCTTGGATTTTCCAGCCTCCAGGAACGTAAAATATAAATTTCTGTTGTTTAAGCCGCCAAGACTGTTAGTACAGCTTGAGATGACTAAGACACCCATTCCTTTTCCTCTATCTCATGTGTCTCTCTCAAGTAGCTTCCAGGCCATTTTATTCTACCCACAAGTAAGATTTATACTTATGCACCCTGTGCTGTGTATGGGAAATATAATGATGAGAAAACACAGTCCTGGCGCCCACCCTCATGGAGCTTAACAGTCTAGTGGAAGAGGTAAACAGGAATTAAATCGTCATACACATATAGAATCATATGTTTACTGATATTGAGCTCCCTGGCTCCCAAGTCCATCAGGCATGTCTATATAAGTCCAAAGGCAATTTGTGAACACAATTCAAGATTTATTTTTCCTAGAGATCTCACACTCCTGGGTTAATTAATAAATGTATATTGGTATTCGTTAAAGAGGGGCAGGAGTCACCTAATCCCGCTGCTTGACTCATCCAAGCCTCAGCTAGGGTAAATCTGGAGCCTGTGATGTCGCGAGTAGTCTCCAAATGAAAATTACTCTGGGAGAGGTACTACATGACTGTACAGCCACACTAAGGTATAACATCTGAAAGCAGACACCCTTGAGAGAAATTTTGCCAACGAGGTATGTGCAAATGTTTCCTATGGTATCATTTTGCCGCAGGCCTGTCCTGGAGAAGAATTATAGCTCCAGAAACTCAACCTGAGTTTAAAGTCTTACTAAGGTAATTTTATTTCCATTGTATAAGTCTTATGTACATTTCAGGTAGTTTCAACCGCCTTGGGAAAAATATTAGACATGAAGTTCGGAACCTTTCCTTTGAAGGAAAACTCTTCATGCGATTAGACTATTTGGGGAAAGGTTACACAGAATGATAAGGAGAATTTTAAGATAATGGCTGCTCAGTGCTCCGGTTTAGAATTTGAGGCTGGGGTTTGAAAAGGCAGAGCTGGCAGAAACTTTATGACCTCTTAAATAAATTATAAGAGAGCACTCTTGCCGTACTTAAAAGAGCATTACTTTTTAGAACCAGCGAGAGTCTCTCTCAAGAGCACTTTACACCTCTAACTGCTGTAGAGTGAGCGAGGAACCTCACTTCTGAGACACCTGCAATGCAGGGAAGTGGCTGCTAGTTCGAGTCCCAGAGCCTTTATGGGAGAGGAGTAGCGAATGTGATTGGGTGGGTCATAGAGGCTTGCCTGAGGCCAGCATCATAGGTATTATAGGGCCTGTGCATTGGTGGGGTGATCTTTCTCTTCCACGGGCTGTAATTTTGTTTCCAAAGGGAAGGCGGAGATGCAGTTAGAAGGCGGTTGGCTCAAATCTCTCAAGCTGTCTTCTTCTGACTTGGGACAGCGAAACACCCAGAGATATGATGGAGAGGAGGTGGCTTTCTCGTAACTGGGGAGGAGATGATGGCGTGCCTGGGACGGTGCTCACTCTTAACGGTGAGTCAGCTCATGCTGGACAGTTCCTGAGAACATAGACCCAGGTTTAACAGCACATCAGTGACAGGTTTCAGTAGGGAAGAAGGGGACTGCCAGTAAGCAGAAGAATCATTAAAAGAGCAAAACCTACAAATTCAGTCATGCCATGCCCCTGCTCAAAATCCTTCAGTGGCCTCCTAATAACCACAGTATAAAACTTCAGCATGGCACACTTCTATCTAAGCAGCTTTCTAGCCGCTGTTGCCCCTTCCCCTATTTGGTGATTCAGGATAACTGCCATACTCTCCTGCCTCTGGGTCTTTGTTCCCATATTCCCTACCTTCCCTCTAACTTTTGAGTGTCTATTTGTCTTTCAAGACTTGACTCTAGTGTAATGCAGTCCTCCCTGTCTGAGGGTATTCTTTCTCTACCAGGCAGAGCAACTGACCACCACCCTCCACCCCTCCATTCCAGCACTTCTTATCACTTTGTATAGTCATTGTTTGCCTTGTCCAAAGATTGTCAGGTCCCATGTTGTTTTTTTTCTAACTTACTAGTTGGGTGCCTTTGGGCAAATTACTTAACCACTTTGTACCTCCTTTTTCCTGCAGAAAGGCAGCTACTTATGTCATATATCCTTGCACTTCAAAAAATAAAGGGATGTAGCTAATGTCCAGCCTGGTGATGCCAAAAAGAGGCTGTACATGAAATTCACAACAGAGAAGGGAATAAATCAGAAGTCAGGACTCAAAACTAAAGTGAATCAGGAAAACGAAGCCTCTGAGATCCCTGGAGAT